CCTGACGTTTCGGATTCCGTCGGGAATCCTTAATCATAGGTGATGGTAAGACCTATGATTAAGGATTGCCGACGGAATATGAAAGGCAATTGAATTTCTTTCCCTCGGCCGCTGGGAATAAGTTGTTCCGCATGCAAATAGAAGGTGTGCGCGGCGTTTCGCGCCGTAGACTATTCTAATTTAACTCCAGAACGGTAAGTTGAACCTCAGGTAAGTTGGAGTAGACGACATCCTTACTACCATTTCTATTTGTTTGCAGGAGTTTCCAGAAACCTGCATTTTGATGATCGGATTATTCCACATTACGTTAAACTATATTTCAGTATAAAAAATCTACATATATAAATCAACAACATTTCTAAATATAATAAAATGAAAATGCATGTCGCAGTTATTAAAGTATATTCCACTGACTATCGTAATTCCCTACCCATAAACCCCCTATTACGGCCGTTTACTTGAGACGAAATGCTAGGACTAGGAACATATGAGGCACACTACTTAAAGTACTGTTGCCTGGGAAAGAACTAGGGTCTGGGCTCAATGGGCTGTGAGTGGTTGAGGACCTCCATATCGTATCACAAAAGGTTGTAGGTGATGAGATTATCCATATCCTGGTCACATCAGATGACACAGGTAAAATTAAATCGAAGGCGAGGGAGTTTTGACGATGATTCAGCTCAGCCGCATCGGAAGTTGAGATTTCATCTCATGTCGCGGATAACCATTATCGCGTTGAGTTAAGGCTAATGAGGTAAAACTCTTGCCAGTACGATCTTCAGAGCTGGAACGTGGAAGGTCAGAGTGGTAGGAACGGTTTATTCTGCGCAGAAGAGATTGAAGGATAGGCAGGAGGAATTTGACTGTCAGTAGAGCGAGTAACCGCCGACCACAGCGCGAGTCTGAAGCGAGGTGACCGCTGGAACCGTCACTGCGTCTGGAGCGGCCTTCGTATGAGTCGGCCTTGTCGGGTGATTTTTCAAATGGATTGGCTAGATGGAAGGGCGTAGGTGGCCAGTGCATATGTACGCGTTGGCGACGGTGAGCCTTAGCGCATGGTCATCTGCGCAAAGTGAGTCACCAGAAGAACTTGAAGCCAATCAACGCCGCGTCAATCGCTGATTGGCTGCAGACAGACAAAGCTCAGCTGCACGCAGG